TTCTTCCTCTGGGCAAATTTAAAATTAAAAGGGTACAAAATTTAGATGATTTAACATTTAATGATTTCGTTGACATGCCCTGTTTCTATAAATTTTCTCTCACTCACTGTGGACCTTGTAATGCGCCTTTTTGAATATGTTGCCTCTCCTTGAGTTCTCGTTTTTTCTCCGTATTAAATAAAAATTTAATTCCAATTCTCTGAGTATTATTTCCCGTATTCAGCTGCTTTACTGACAGAAATGTAATTGCGAGAATTTAAGAACTTTAGTGGTACTAGCTACTTACCTGCTCATTTCATTATTTTGCTCATACATACTAAAAATGATGTTCCGTTGAAAAGAAGGAAAAAGGGCCATCGGCATCTAGTTTTTGACACACTGTGTATATTTTCCGTTTACTGCCAAAAATTTGCTAGGAAAAATTATGATAGACGAGAGCCAGCATTTTTCTTGAAATCCAATACCTGATTCTTAAATGAATTTGTTTCATATTTTTGCCCTTCACATATATACGATGGGGTAAAATTAATAATCATCTTGGTTTCAAAAGTTATGAGAAAATCGTCGATACAACAGTTGTTAAGATTGTTAGGATGTCCAATTTAAAATCATTTTAACGTGTACAGGGTGGCTCAGATATTTTTAAAATGTACATCCTATTTTTAAATTTTATTTTTAATTCCCTTTTAAATTCTTCAACTTTTTTATTAAGAATAATATACGCATAAAGCAATATTTTAATTAAAAAAAACTAGTTTTCACACTTTCATAACTACTTGTAAAAGTAGATCGCTCATATTTGATATTAGCGTTACTCGAAGATGACACAGATGCAACAGAATTTGAATTAGATACTATAGGGTGTTTACAATAAACGAATATATTTGGATAATTTTAAATTTCAAAAATATCAGTTTTCTTAACACTTTGACTCCCAACTACGAGATAACTTGTAGATGGCGTTCTTTTAAAGCACAACTTTTATGTAGAACTACAAAAGAACAAAAATTAATGGTGGCTCTTGAACAGAAAATTTATTAAAAAACGATTGAATTCGTAAGTCCTTAAAAAAATATTTTTTTAAAAATTTTTGATGATATCTATGGACTAGAATTAATTTTTAATAAGATAATATGCTAAAATCAAATTGTCCTTTTTGAAAATTGCCGTGGAATTGCAATGGCGCACCATATATGTTTAATATTATCTTTTTGGCAGATCTTACAAAAATCTACCCCTTTATTAAGTAGGTCATACACTCTTTTTTAATACTCTGCGATTTATTTTAACTTTTCCAATATTTACCCTTTCCTCTGTTGAACACGGTTACTATTAGTTGGCCATGACAAAATCACATAGTTTTAGTTGACACCTGAGGAAATTCAAAATTCATAAAATGTATAGTGGTGTCAGCAAATAAAAAAAAGTATGGACTTTCCTAAAGCTGACTTAAATGATGTAATTTATTTAATGGGCGAGGTAGAAAAAAAAATGTTTTTGGCAATGGCACTTTACAATACGAAATACCCCAATTTTACAAAATATTTACCATAGATTCAAATATTTCTTTTACTTTGCATTTTTTAATTTGCTGATTTGATATCACAAAATGAATAAAAGAATTTCCTTTCGGGATTATTTTTAGTAAATTTCTTTCTTGACACGGTTAAACGGCGAGAGATTAAACCAATTTACTGAAAATACCAAAACACACGCCACCCGCTTCAATCATTTAGCCACCATAATTTATAAACAGTTCGTGTGTGAGAGCGGATAATGGTCACGATGATAACATGACAAATTTCTCAATTAAGATTAGACGGCATCTCTAAACTATTGTAGAGCGATATGATCCGAAATTAATTGCATTCTAATCTTATAAAGGCTGATAGTAATTAAACGCCCCATTTGATTAACAATTTGTTGGATGGAGATACAATATTATAAGATATTGCCTGTCAGGCCCCGTTAAGTGCTGAACTTTGATCAATTGGATAAAGTTGGACAATTTAACTGAATTGCTTGGAGACATTTATAAAGCGGCACGCAAAAAGGCGTCCTTTTCACATTTTTGCTGAAGCGGACGCATTTAAAAAAGTTAATGATAGGGTTGTAATGCATTCCGGACATTTTTTTTTTCAAAGAAACTTCCACAGGCTACTCTAATACTATTTACAGAACTTCTGGATTCCTCCTGCGTCGGTTTTTGCTGAGTCGAAGTTGCTGACGTTTCGCCAATCATCCTGTTGGCTTCTTCATGCTTAATTGAATCTGAAACACAGTTTCAGTTACGCTCTGAAGAAGCCAACAGGATCAAGGAAGAAGGAAGAAATTTTACAAATAGTAAAGACAAAAAAATGAAAAAAATTACATAAACTTTTTTTAGTTTTCGAACTGTAAAATATGTAAAATTTGTACCTGCTACACTTGTTTTGATGATTTTGTTAAATATATTTTTTTGTTCTTCGTACTCTAAAATACTCAATTATGCACGGAACAAGCATGCGCAGACTGCCACCTTAAGATGCCAACTACTTCAGGAATTTCGGATATTTTAGTCATTGCATTGGGAAAGATTAGATGTTTTCGGTAAATTTTAGCCGTGGATGGTACTTTGACGTTTGTCAATACTGACTGTCACACAAAAGGAACTATATCCACGAAAATCAATGACCGTCGAAAAAGTATAGCAGTAGGAACTCACAACGCTGCTCTCCGCTGGTGCCAAAACAAATTCGTGACTAAAATAGCGTTAAAGAATAGTATAACATTCGAAGGCAGCGCCAAAATTTCCCGGCCTGAATATGAAAGAAACAAAGTAAAGTTACAATTTTTTATTATTTTTTAATATAATCCCCCTTAACTTCAATACACTTATTACATCTCTTTATTAACAACTCAATCCCTTTAAAAGAATATTCTTTTGGTTTGTCTGCAAAATGAGCTAAAAGCTATCTGTTGGAACCCACACTCTAAAATGGCAGCTTGTGCAACAGCAGCAGTATGGACAGGTGCATTATCGTGCAAAAGACGCACGCCTGTGGTCAGTTGTCCTTGACGTTTTACACGTATGCAGTCTCGCAATTTATGTAATAATGTGGCGTAATATTTACCATTGACAGTTGTATTAGTTTCTTTAAAATCTATCAAGAGAATTCCTTGACAATCCCAAAAGATCGTGGACATCACCTTTTTTGTTGACTGGCAGACTCTGAATTTTCAATTCCATTGATTCTTTTTTCGATAGAGGGTCATAATAGAGAACCATAGGTTTATCTCCCGTCACAATAGTTTCTATCACAGGCTTCAGATCCGACCCACAGAGTTCCAAAAAAGACCGCGCACACCCGACACGGCGTTGTTTTTGAATAGCCGAAAGGTTTTTAGGAATCCATTTTGCACTAACCTAAATGATCATGCAGAATTCGACGAACACTTGTATCAGAAAGCTTAGTAATTTTTGAGATTTCCTTGATCTTTAAACGTCGATCACTCAATACCACCTCTTCCACAATCGCAACAATATCTTCCGTTATGACCTCCACTGGTCGACCAGTTCTTGAATCATCTTCAAGGGACTCCTGCCCCATTCGAAAACGTTTTGCCCATTCTTTCACTACAGAATACGAAAGAGAACTTTGAATGTACGCACCATCCAGCCTTTCTTTAATAATTTTAGATGCTAACCCTCCTTTTGTCAAAAACTTTATGACTGCTCTGTACTCAATTTGCGTTATTTGCGACATTTTTTCGGACACGTCTTGTTTAAAATGCTGTCAATAAAAAACTATTTGACGCAAGACTAAGATATATATTTAAAAGAAGACAAAGTTTTATCGTGATACTGGAGCTGCATCTATGTCAGACCGGAAAATTTTGGCGCTAGCCTGGTTAATATAAATTCATTTTTCTTTTCATTAATGGGATTTTTTTATTGTAGAATATTGCAGTAATTTTCAAATGCAATGCTGGGGTAATTTGTAAATAATGCTTATTTAGTAAAGAGCACAAAATAATTTAGCAGTCATTCTATGAACAAGGTAGATCTAAGTGGATAATTGAATAGGAAATGAAAACTTAAGCAAAAAAAGTCAATTTTCATGATTGGAGATCTGGTTGGAGCCTATTTAGGACATAGTTGTACATAACATTAATCTAACACAAATATTAATCTAACTACTTTGTTGTTGCGATAAAGGAATCTAACAAAAATTAAACTGGACCACTAGCACCACAAGTAGTTATGAGTTCTGAAAAAATTTTTCGGCCTGTCTAGCAAAACATCTAGATATGGTAGTAACAATCCATAAAGGTCACTTTAATCTAAGAATACTCCTCTAAATCATGGAGTTGTGTTTAGAAGGCAAGAAAATCCTTCTTTACCTCCTAATTGCGTATCACCGGGGAGCACGGGATTAAGAGTATTTGGAACTCAATTATTTTGAACTATCCAGACTTCCCATGAAAGAGGTTGTGTTCTTCCAGAAGATTAAGCGAGCAGGGAGCAAACTGGTGCTGTCATAATAAAAAGGATATACAACAGATGGACATAGAAATATAATATATGATTGTGCGATCTATTTTATAATACAAAATGATATGGGATATATGATATTATTTATTAGTTCCGATAGCAGTTTTGAAGAAACATCTTGTCGACTACAAGAAAAATTGAAACAAATATAAGTGGCAAACTTTTGGGATTTTTGTTCATTTCTGAGAATAATTTATTCGTTTTTTTTTTATTAGTCTCTATTAGTCTCTATTGAAACCCCCTTTTTCCTTTTTATTTTAGTAAAAATTTTTTTCTAATTGACTTAACGAATTGCCCAGCAACACTTGGAATTTAATCTGAGCATTGTCGCATCTGAGTGATAGATTCCTGCGAAATTTTAATGTTTCTGCAAAACGGAACGGGAGTCTGTGCGCGCATGGCCTTTCGACAGCGCTCAAACGAGGATACATCGGCTGAAACTTCAGTGTGGTTTACAACTCCGTGAAGTTTAGGAATACGCGCGAAATCGCATTCAGTGTAGGTGACTTTAGTAAAAAGTTTTATTGGAGACGGTGACTCGATTTTCGTAAGTTCAGTGTACCTTCATTTGAAGTGGTTCAAGTGGTAATTTTTTTGAAGGATATATTCGACTGTCAAGGTAGGTTTTAGAAAGTTTTCGGGGCAGCGAAAAACTTTTAATTTGTTTCATATTCGCCTTTAAATTAATTAAATATATTAGAAAAATTCTGCGTTTTCAACATTTCTCATTCTCATTCTCATTTTAAATTTTGTGCCAAATGAAGATACTGTATTTGAAAAGTTGAGCGGTTCAGATGAATTTGAAATACTTTCCAATACTTTAAGCGTACAAAATACTTGTTACTTGTTAATATTAAATATTTTTATTATATTAAATAAATTTAGCATATTCTTTTTAAATTGGAATATTTTCTTATTAGTCTTATTAGTTTAGGACGTCCATGGTTCTTTATCTCATAGTTGAAGAATAAGCAGGAAGATATTATGTCATACACATAATGCCATTTTTTCAAAGAATTCTTGTTAATAAATAAAATTGAAACTTTTTTTTTCGAAAATGTATTAATTTTGAAATTGTAAATATTTTTTTAAATATTATTTTAATTATTTTGATATAATATTTTTTTTTAAATATTGTTAATAATTAGTTATACAAGTATAACTTCATTATTGATGGAATACTGTCACATCATAACAAGATAACGCCAACATTTCGTGCGAGATATTTGTACTCGCGGTGACCAGTCGTTTCTGACGGTTCCAATATTTTAGTCACAGGGTTTGGAGCTATCCTATGTTTTCCATAGATTTTATCGGTGGCATTTGAGGTTTGTTGATTCTGACAGTCACTTCCCACGTCATTCAGCGAACATAGTCATACCGTTTTCCTAAAATGTTATCAATGGTCGCGCTAAACGAAACGCGTGACTAAAATGACGTTTATCAAACTTGTTACGTAATATATCTTATGACCCAGCATATGATTGTCTTGATGTTGAAATTGCATTGTGGGCTTCAGATGAGAGTTACAAGGAAAATAAAGAATATTTCAAACAAATGAAAGTTGTAAATGACCCAGCAAAGCGTGGAGTAGCGTTGATCTTTGAACATAATCAGTTTGACGAAAAACGAAGACCAGTTCCAATACTAGCTGCAAATTGTTAGAGAACATCGAGGACAATTTCCTGACTGTAACAAAAGTGGATTTGTATAACTAAATCAAAAAATTAATAATGTATTAAGGTATAAAATTTATTGATATTTCTTGAATACAGAACTTTTTTTTCTCAAATAGATAATAAATAATTTCAAAATTTAGTAATTCAATGAATGAATTGAAAATATTTATTAAAAACAATGACTATAAGTACCCATTGGGATTCCAATGCAAATATCTTCAAAATGGTTGGAGTCATCGATAAACCAGAGCATTAAATTTCCTATAAGGATGATTAAAGACATTTCACGATAATTATTTTTTGGTCAATAGCAAAATTCAGAACAAGGAGTTATTTCTTTTTTACCTCGAATATCTTTGAAATGGTTCGATTTATAGAAAAAGTATAAGAGACCAGTTATGTAGAGCGTTCAATCTATTGGTGATAAGATATGATTATTTATATATGAGACTAAAATGCAAAACTGTAACGAGGATAATCTTCCAATTAGTATTAACAGCTCATATGCGGTAACTACGTTCTAGAGGTAACTAGTAACTAGGGTGTCAGATCCAAAAAAATAACCGTTTGTTTGACCCACCCTAATACTTATGCAGAAGGAATAATTGTTATGAACAGCATTATAAAAATATGAAATAAGAAAGGAATAAATTGTATGACTAGAAGCTGTGGATGGAAAAATATGTTCGTATACTAGTGTTCTCGAAAAATCGGGTACATCTACTGTGTGAATTTTGTGATAATAATTTGTTTATAAAATAGATCGCTCTGACAATAAAATAGGCGTGTTTAAATTAAGTATCCAGTGGATGTAACGTAGTGATGTTGCAACTGTACACAAAGGACAAGGGCACAAGGACGAGGAGGCTAATAGACCACACAATTGTAGGTAAACATCTTCAACGCCAGACATCATTTACATTTCTCGCAGTTGTTCCCTAGTGCAAGTGTTGTCAATCTGATTATTGAGATCGGTAACGTCAGGCCATTTGAATTACTCCTTAATTCATTTTTAGAACTTTGTCTTCCGCAGACTTTATAGCCAATCAAAAATGCTGCACTAACACGGACATGCTAAAACTGCACTATTAGCAGGATATTAATCAAAATGAATGTCAAATTTTATTATTGTCGAGGATGAATCTTTTTAACGTCACTCATCGCCTCCGATGTAGTAAGATGTCACGTTAGTTTATAGAAATCCACCTAAATATTTCTAATTTGGTTTAAAATACTATGAAGTTTATATTCTTCAACAGGAGGAAATTTCTTACCCATTAGTATATAGTTTTTCCGTAAAACCACTAATGATTATGGAGGCACATGACAAATAATTTATTAAAAAAGTTAGTAAATAATTACTAAATATTGAATTTTCATAAAAGAAAAAACAACAATTGCAACAGAATATTTCAGTAGGATTCAGCGGTGATTCTATCTTTTTATACAGGCCGTCCAAATAGTGTATCAAAGCAAAATATCTAATTTATCAGTTTTAGAAAAAAAATGTTTAAGACAAAAGCTATTGACAAGACTGAAAGAGACAATTTAGAATTATTTACAAATCTACAGGGTGATTCATAAATATGTGGGACACCAAACATTTATTTTTTTAAATGTTACTGCATATTACTGCATTACTAGATACTCCCTGCTCAATCCTCCTATGACCATTTTTTCGTCGAAAGTAGGGTTTAATACCCTATATTTCTGACGTTTCCAACAGGTGTAATTTTATTATGCCAACAATTTTATAAAGTGGTACAGTCCTATACTTGTTCTTAAGATAGTTCGAATCCTTGTGTGAGTAAAAATGGAAAATATTAAATTAATTCCTTATATTAATGCTCTTTGAATTTTATTTAGTATTCCCTATACCTAAACTTAATATTTTGTATAGGATACAAATTTTTACGCAAAAAAAAAAATAAAAACTTTGTCAATAAGACAGGAAAAATAAAAATAATTTTTAATTTTTTAAAAAAAAGTTTCCTTTCTTTACATCAATTTAGAAAGTCAGTTAGTGGTGTTGGTAGTCATAATTTTCACTGTTATACTAACAATAGACCTCATTTTATGATGACTCACAGCCAGAAAAAATGGTCCTTAAATGTCTGGGGGTGGCATAATAGCAACTAATAAATACCTAGACTTTTTCCAGTAGAGGTTGCAAAGTATCGTAAGTTAAGAAGTTGTTTTTTCATGATGGAGGTCCTGCATGCCCATGCCCACCAAGTTGAACTACTTAAATAAATAATTTATTTCGCCAACGGTGGTTAGGAAGAGGTGGTCCGGTTAGATGGCCATCTAGATCTCCCGATCTAACAAATATGGACTATTTTCTATGTTAAAGACCAGGTGTATAAAACTGCCCTGACAACCAAAGAGGACATTAAACAGAGGATAGGAGAAGCCTTTTAAAGTATTAGTCTAGCGAATACTGTCCAATCTATTAAAGACCGTGTTAGAGCAATAAATAAAGCGAAACAAAAATATTTCTTTCTTTTTCCAGTTTTGCTCTAAGTTTTAAGTGTTTTTGCTGGAACTGTGTTTCATTTTGACTCACCCTGTATAAACGATTCGAGCTAAGTTCGAAACAAGTATAGGATAAATGACTGTAAAACATCACAAAAATTGTTGGCATAATGAAATTACAGCCGGCGGGAACGGCGTCAAAAATATAGGGTATTCAGTATAAACTACAACAACCCAACACTGGTTGATTGAGTATATAAGAGAGAATCTATTAATGCCATAATTTTTAGTCTCGTCTATAAGTTTTCTATTTAAAATTTTTCTCCAAAACAAATAATAAACGAGATATATTGCTTTGACACACTATTTGTACACCCTGTATATCTGCAAATGGCGGCAGATAATTTTTACTTTATTGCATACTACAAATTTCGAAACTAAACACGGATATGTATTTCTATATAACTAGTAGACAAATTAAAAGTGTCTAAAAACTTTTCGTAATAGAAACAGAAGAAACCAAAACAAAATTTGCATTCATTAATTTTGTGTTTGTGTTGCAATAAAGAAACAACTATTCTACTTCTTATTATTAAAATTAATTGTAAATGTGCAATGGGCGTGTTGCAAATGAATATATCGCTAAATTGTTTTACTGATTATTTGCAACTATTATTTGAATGATTATTGAAGAAGCACCTAAGACCTAAACTATTGTTATGACCCTTTATGACTTAATCGAAAATTTTTATTTATTTTGTAAAACATAAGCTCGGATAAATGCGTTAAGAGCAAATGCTTAAGATGATTTTTTTTCTGAAGTACTCCTTCAAAAACTCCGGAGCAATAATTTAATAAGCCGACGGCGTGAACCCGGTCAAGGGAGCCTCATCTCCGACTAAGCCGATTTTGGAAAAAAAAATGAAAAGGCTATAAAAATTGCAATACATTTTGTACGGATTTTTTGTTAGTATTCGGAGTGATAGTCATTAAATTATCGGAACAAAGTATTTGTAATAAAATTATCGGTTCGGTGAACTTTAAATTTGATATGACACTTAATTGTACGGGTTTATGTTCTGTCAATTCGTTGAACCGGTAGTTGAAGTGGACTTGTTATTCCGGTGTCGCTTATAAAAAGAAAAGTCCAGTAAGATCGTTCCTTGCTGTATTTACTATATCCCAGAAATCCTACTCTATATTGCCGATGCGGGATAATGGTTGTCAGTTTTTAAGACAGAAAGACAGTCATTTTTATTATCGAGTTCGGCTCTAAATTTGTACCAAATTTTAAAGTAACAAAATTAATTCTTATTCGGTAGTGGTAAAATTTTAACTAGGTGCTAAGAAAATGTCAAGGAAAACGTGATAAAACAATACAAATTTTATGTGCTTATCGAAAATATGGGACCCTAAAGTCTCTGATGGTATAATTGAGAAAGTTACGTTAAGTTACTCGATATCG